TTAATTTTTTATTCTATTTAAAAAAAATAAAGGCAGGTACACCGAAATTTTAAAATAATCCGTGCAACAATATGAAATTTGTCGTTAATCAAGAGTGTGTAAGTGTGAATAGCATGGAATATGTATTCTCATTCCATGCTTAACATCGATTGTTTATGTTTATACTTCGTAAGCATTCGAGTTTAAGCACGTACAGATGTTGGTTGACAAGCAGTGTCCATTTGTATTAAAAGAACATCAAATTTATTGATTTCGTCTACTCAAAAGTGGAGATGACTAATTAATTAAGCTACAATGGACTAAGTCGCTTTGAATATTATTTTGGGTGATCAGTATTCCATGACACCGTGTCAAACTTCGCACTATGTGTGTAAATTACATGAAAATTTGAACAATAAAAATTATAATAAAAATTAACAAAATCAAGGTAGATTCATACACCATAAGTGCAGAAGTACATTATTTTATAAAATTAAAATATCCCTTACTACTTAAAACTTTGAACTGACGTCATAAATTTGGCAAACAACATAATATCCGAGAATTTTTCTATTGTTGAAAACAACATATTAGTATTGTCCAAGATTTTTTCAAAGGGTCTTGGTATTTCAAATTATATAAAAAATAAAACACAAGTGCCCCGAAGATTCTTTCATATTCTTAAGCATGGCAATAGTCCCCTCAAGGTTCATTGAAACGTTTTAAAGCAATATAAGAGGAATGTTCTGTCACCGCTTTAACCTTTGACGGCGAGTCTCTTATTTTTTTAACCTATCACTGTTTATCTAAGTATTTATTGTTCTAAGGACCGGATTTGTTTGATTGTAATTCAGCCGAGAAAATTTTATCTAATAATATAAGACTAATTTTTCCATTCATTAGAAACAAGGCACTAGGAACACCTAAAGTTTGTTAAATGGACCCTATTACACTACTTTCCAGATTGAAATTGAACACGTATATTTTCGTATTCTACGAACTATAAAATGTTAAAATACCAAATTACAGTTTATTTTTAAATCTGGTTACAAATTCCGTTGAAATTTTATCGCATTAGACGAAACGGAGAGCAGGAAAAAACTGAAATTGATTTCAGCCATGAACACGAAAATTCGGTTTTTGCAAAATTGCGGTGAAATGTACTACATGGTAAATATTGTTGCGGTAAACACAACAACAAACAAAATGAGTACAGATTCACAAAAAATCCAAAATAATTCGAAAATCCGACACAGTTTATTTATTATGTGAAAAAATTAATTGTTAGCAGTTTAGCCGTGTTTGTGTTCAAACTTTTCGACAAAGTTTTGGATAATCTCGCATCCGTCCGACAAAAAATTAATTTCAGGGATAAGCGTATTTACAGTTTTTGCAGAACACGGTTTAAATTAATTTAATGAAATTCCCTTTAATTTTTCGTAATAAATGTAACACAGTAATAGAATATTATTTAGCAAGTTTTATAAACGCCTCTTTAATCACGACTTTGTCTAGAGATGTTTAGGATCGTGTTACATACTACTAATTCAAATTAAAATCATAATTATGGAAACTCGGAAATTACTCTACAATAAATAAAATACTATCATCATGAATATTATAAATTCTTTGTTAAACTATTACTTCTGCTTGACAATATAGAAATCAGCACTGATAACCCAAAATCTATTTTTCCATTTGAAAACAAATCGAACGGAGCTCAAGACGTCAAAATTTACGAACTGTCAATTTGACAATAGGCAACTTCATGCCGTACCTAAAAACAGCGCGGCTAACTTCAGCCCGTGGCCTGAGTGACTGTTTAGTCACCACTCATATCGGTATCTATAACCTAAGTTAGCGCCGTCAAAACAACAACTTTAAATGACACAGTGGAAAAAAATGACATTTCCTAATATAAGAAAATTTATTTTTAATCTATATAAGACACACCTTCCATATTTTAAATCTTTAAATGAAATATAATTCTCATCAATCATCATGATGGGTGTAAGGGATGCGAAATATTAAAATTGTTAAAATTTCTGATAATAATCTTAAAAATTAAAATCTTAAATGTAACATCTTATATAAAATACACTACAACGATCACACTTAACAGTATTTTTAGTCCAAGAAGATGTAAAATTCATTTTTAAGTATGAATAACGTAATAATTAAACAGAGATATGTGTCTCTGATGTGAAACTCCACCTACGCTTTACCAAGTTTATATCCAATAATTAGAAACACAGAACATTCTTCATTGAAAATTTTAGTTATTTATATTTAGAACGATTGCAATGTTGCTGGCATGCTAGCAATTATTTTAATTTGAACTGAAATCCTCAAATTTACGTCACCTAAATCGAGAGAGCGCACCCCAAACGCACTGTATATTGTACATGAATGAATACAATCTTATATGCTGCAAGCTTTCCTAATATTGCATTTGTGTAATATACAGGTCATTTTATTGACGTGGTTGAAAATTTATAAATATACTGTTAATACTTTTCAAACAAATATAAAATATTGAGTCAGCAATATTTGACACCACAAGGTATTTATTAAAGCAGATAACAACTAATAAATCCCTAAAATTTATTTATATCTATTTGAACAAGACTACGGAAACAGGTGCCACATTCTCATTAAATTTTTCATATTTGGTCAAAGCCAAACAAAAATGGGTAAAACTGTTGCAGTCGTTCTACCCGACACAATAAATAACAACCAAATGGATATTTATTCGTAAGTATAAAACAATAATGCTTGCTTGTGACATACAGCTGAACACTTAATCTCGCAAACTGCAATGGAGTTTGCATCGTACCTCTTATAAAATGAGTTATGTGATATGCAAAAATTGCTTTTAACCGTGCATTCTGTAATAATCTTACAAATAACCTATACAAATAGTTATGGGAAAAATACAGGGTGTTTAGATATAATAAAATTTGAACAATTTTACAAATTTCTTGTATATGTGTGTCCAACTCTACAGCTTTGTTAGACATTATTAAAACATGTATTTAAATAAAACTGTCTTCCATATTAATTTTTTCGAAGGTTATTAAGTCATGTTAATTTACAAAATGTTTATCAAGAAATATGTGACAATAAAAAAATAATGACGCGATCAGTTATACATAAAAAAAATGGAAAGCTGTTGAGTTACAATATTTTCTCAAATATTTTATTTTGTAGGGTTTTTATTGCGAACATGGCCAGCAGTTGTGAAACAATTTTGGCGATTAGAGACCAAGACAATCTATTATCGACCCTTAAAGTTTAAGGTAAGCTTCAAGTTATATAACAAACAATGGAAAACTTTTCAAGAGAGCCTACCATTTTACACAATGTATAACAGGTTACATAACAAAATTTCCATGAAAGCGAAAATTATTTTCAAAATATTTGTTTCTGTAAGTACAGAGATACAGAAACTTACGTACGTGACACTAAAATCACGAAAAACAACAATAGCAAGAAATACGATAAATTCACTAAAAAATAATATATAATGTTTTAAAGTAATTTATCAGTCAGGTGTGATAGAACACCTTGTATATCCATCATTCTGTTTAACAGATTTCGTGTCAGCTCAGTTCCACAACCTAAGCAAACTTCGTTATATTTTCCAACGTACTCAATAATTAATGTTAAAAATTAATTAAAAATAGCGACATCTAACTCGAAGTTCCAGCGACCTCTCCTTAAATTGATCGGCCAGTTAATTACAAACGATAAAACAGCGACTATTTTTAAGAACAATAAAAACTTCCTACGGACTATTTATTAAAAAAACTCCCCGAGAACGGACGATGGAAATTTTCAACAAAAGAAATCTCAAGAAATAAAAACGGAACGTCAGAGGCAGAATGGTTAAGTCGATATTTTATAGCTTCTCATATGATGTTATCTCCAAAAATCCTAAAATCAACCTAAATGTCGCAAAAATTGCAAAGCGTCTAAAACACTGCGATGCTTATCAAAGGGAGTTTACTCCCAACGCACCCAACCTAGTGATTTCTAATTATAACTAATGCACAAAAAATTTTGCTAATGTAAAGATGAAAGATCAAAAGGAAACGCCGAATATTCCTAAATCTAAATTCAGATGGAAAATGAAACATACAATTTTAATTCGATCTGGGATAATTCGCTTAGTATTTCGTTTCGACATCCAATAAATATTGAGGCGAGTCAAAATAAAATTACATCCGAAAGTGCGCGGACGTTTTCTTGTATCTAATACGTATTAGTATATATGAAATATGGATTTCGTAATACGGTTTTAACTTTTTTGGAAACACTTTGTTGCATACGTTACTAGAAACAATTCCCTTTTGATGAATGTGCGTAATGACTAAACAATGTGCAGGTCATGAGCATTAGGGTTAGTTGAAAAAAATACAGAAAACAAGTTTCCTGATGGGAGGTCAAAATGACAAAAATTTATTGAATATTGAATATCGACAGTTATTAAAGTTTTCTCTATCAAGGAAGTTTATTTCTCAGTAATGAAGTTTATTTGCTCGATGAAACCTCTTTACAATTTGTAAATTTATCTTTGAGGTTAAAATTTACAATTGAAAACGAATTGTCGAGAATTTTAAGCAGTACAAAAATTTCTGCACAATCCTTCTAGTTAATTTATATTATTAGTGAAGCTGCATTTTTACAACATTGTGACCTCAATTATGAAGAAAATATATAATATTACCAATTCGTGTGGTTGTCTGAGACTTTAATTAGTCTTTGTTCTAAATATAGAACGCAGCGAAGGTTACTTTTGTATAATAAATATTTCTTTGCCATGTTCATCCGAATAAATATATTTTTTCGTTTATTAACATTTCCGTGTTTTTTCTTTTATTTATTAATGAGTTCTGCTTTGATTTAAACTAAATTTGTTTTACGTCTACCTTTTGGGAACACAGTAAATATAAAAATAAAAATCATCCGCCCTGTACCAGCATATCATTACGAACCGGAGCGCCCCAGCGAGATATTACCTAATATATGCAGAGCCGTAACGGTGAGAAAGAAGGGCGTCCGGAAGTTACCCTTTCCTTCCACAACGAACATCTTGAATCTCTTGTTAAAAAACTCACGAAAAAATCCCGAGTACGTCCACACAGAGCACGCTTTTACTTCGGAAAACTTGGCCGGATCGCTTTTTCAAACTCCGGGAACCGGATCATATTTAATGCAAAAGCACAGCACTCCCACTTTTTTCGCAAAACCGGAAAAAATCCAGCCGACACCCGGAAACGAGGTGTGCTGGCGACAATGCCGTCCGGTCTTTGCAAGTTTTTGTCGGCTTCGACGTGTATTTTTATGCGGGATGCGTGTGCGTTAGCGATGTGGTGGGCGTGTCCATGGGACGAGGAGTGTCGGTGTCTGGAGTCCGGTCGGGTCCGGGTTCCGGGCGATACTGAACTCCGGTCTCTCGCTCTTTGCGCGTCGAGATGCGTCGTGTCGCCTCTTTGCGATGATGATCGGCTATCCCGCTAGGTTTCTCGGCAATAATACACTTGTAAATTGAGAGTGTATTTATATTCAGTTTACGGACCGGGGCCCGGAGCCGCCCGCCGCCCCAGACCGCCGCGACGCCTCCGACGCCTCCGTCGAAGGCGGCCGTGGACTGTCTTCGAGTTTTCAGGATAATTGCACGGGGGAGTGCTCCGGTGATTCCACATTTTACGGACGCGCTTTTAATTTGATGAAATGCTATTAAACTTAAAAACTATACAAAGCTTAAACCGCAGATTTGGCTTTATTTTACTCGAAATGTAATGACGTGAAGACTAGTGTTGATTTACTTGTCACGTAAGTGTCGTTCTTATTCTCCATTAATTTTATTGTTACGTCAGACGGTATTTTGCTATGGCTTCTTCAGTGAATACTCCTCTAGAATACTCCTGAGAATACCTACTAGTTACGAACTAGAATCATTTTATATATCTGTTCGAGAGAGAGGGACTTGTGTAACTCTACAACCCCTTTAATTGCCTCAATCCAAATGTGAAAGTATTTTCATCTCCTCATTTGTAAAGCAAGACAGTACTTAAATTCGCCGGCTTGAAAAGCAAGTAACCGACCGTTCGAATCCACATTGTCTCATATCTTGTGCTAAATATATCCAGTTTTGTGCTAGGACCAAAAATTTTCTAAGGATTTTTGTAAATCATAATTATAATTATCTATAACTTTATTTAACAACATTTTACTGAAGATCAATAACAAAGATTTATTATATTAATTAAAAATTCGAAACCAAAAAGACGGATTTATTATTGAATTTCATGTTTATGTTGTACACCGGTTTGGGAAGGTCAAACTATAGTTGAGAAAAAAGGTAAAACATTATAGTATATATATATAGTATACTGCATAAGTTTGATAAATCGCTCTTTAGTCACGAGTCTATTTAGGCACTAGCGGGGCGAATGTTTAGAAAACAAGTATCTAGAAAAATTTACATGTTATACTCTTTCTACGAGCGTAAATTAAAAATTTTCAGATTTCAGCTTGACAAATTCAACTAGTTTGTGGCATTTTTTGATGTCGTTGTTGTTTCTGAGATTAAGGGGATACTTAAGCAATGAATATTTCGCCCACAAAGAAGTCGATTTCATTCGTCAGATATATATTTTTTTTTAAATAGGCCAGCAAAACGTTTTCTAAAAATAACTTGAACATAAACGCCAATTCATGAAAAGTTTATACGTTCTCGCGTATTGTATATGATTTCGCCAACAATAAATTAGCAGTTGCCTATACAGCAATGCAGCTGCGCCTAAAAGTTCAAGCGGGGTCCAATTTTCGATGTCGTTGGAATTTTCACTTTCCATTTTCAAACAAAAACAACAGTAATAACAAAGAAAATAAGAAGGCAAAACCTTCTGACTGTCAATATACCATTGCTAATTTATTATTAACGCTATTCTGAAAAGTTATTAAAAGTTGTAGATAATACTCTAATCTACGAAAATTCTTCTGAAAAATTAGTTTCAAGATGGTGGCCAAATAGCAACACCTCCAGTGTCAAGCAGATTTTACATAACTGGGGGTGTTATTAGTTGACCACAATATTGAAATTAGTTTTCTTGGTTTTATTTCCGTAATGGTGAGACTATAGCAATTAGTTGAATTAATGTTTTTTTTTCAATTGATGGCAATATCTACAGCTTTTCCCAATTTTTCGGAGTAACATTAATCATAAGAATGTTGTGAATATAAAAACAGAAAATCTCTGGGATGAAAATTTTGCAAAGAAATGAAAAAATCGATTTATTATTAGATCGTATAACTGCGTTGTATACCGATTTAGAAAGGTGGAATAATAGTGAGGAGAAAAGTAAAGCGATAAATTAATTAAAATTCAATTACGCAAGGGCACAAACGGAAGATTTATGAGGAATGGAAATGGAACAAGCAGTAAGAGGGCTAATGGGCGAATAAGACTGAGCAAATCACATAGGTACTTAGAAAACATGATATAAGAAATCTTTCTTTCTTTTTCTCCGAAAGAATTGTTCCGAAAAAACAGTATAAATTTATAAAAACAACACTATGCTGTGCATGCAGATACAGTGGAAAAAAATTATTTGGGTTTGTCCGGTGTCAGATTGTAAGCAGTTTTAAAATAAGGAAGCGTTTTAAATTTTATCTGCAACTTCAGAACGTGTTTTTGGATCTTTCTAAACTTTGCAACTGAAACCCTACACCCAACACCCTTAACATCTAATTTTGGAATTTATGAAATGTTTAAAATTAATTTCTACGTAACCTATAATGAATTCAAATTTTACTGATTGTTTGATTATTCAATGGTATTTTGTATACTTATTTAATAAGCTTAATTTCAAAAAATTCCATCTACTTCTAGATCTTAAATTTTACGAAAAAGATTATAATGAAAGTTTTGAAATGCTAGAGGCATTTTCATTGTGATTAGTTTAAATTTATTATATTGTGAATGTTAACTTTACTTTGAAAATTTATTTGGAGGTTGAGGGTTTGAAAGTGAACCTACTGTGTACAAAACAAAGTTGCTTACTTTAAAATGTTTTAGACTTTTACATAGTCTCTAAAATTTTGAGGTGTCAAATGCAGAAGATAAATTTAACTTTTTTTCTGTAGAATCTTATAAGCAACCAATAGCCCCGCCCACCCATCCTCTCTTCATTCCAGTGATTACTTTTAATATTGTTCAGCCAATTACCGAAATCAGTCTAAAACAATATTAAGAGTAATCACTGGAATGAAGAGAGGGTGGGTGGGCTTGCCTAAATTTAACTTTTTCCTACAGAATCTTTTATAAAGAAGCAATAGCCCCGCCCACCCACCCCCTCTTCATTCCAGTGATCATCCTTAATATTGTTCAGTCATTTGCGAAAATCAGTCTAAAACAATATTTACAGTAATCACTGGAATGAAGAGAGGGTGGGTGGGCGGAGCTAAATTTAACATTGTCCCAGAGAATCTTTTATAAGCAACCAATAGCACCGCCCACCCACCCTCTCTTCATTCTAATGATTACTTTTAATATTGTTCAGTCATTTACCGAAATCAGTCTAAAACAATATTAAGGGATAATCACTGGAATGAAGAGAGGGTGGGTGGGTGGCGCTAAGTTTAACTTTTTTTTGTAGAATCTTTTATAAGCAACCAATAGCCCCCCCACAACAATGGATGACGGTACTATGTATTTCTAGGGGCTATAGAAAAACCAATGATAAATCAAGAATAAAAACTTATCATATTCTGCACATTTTAGGTAGCATTTATTCGGCAAAATTTTGAGATGACGTCATGAATTTATTGGGTGGGGGAATAAACGGATATGTTTAGATTAACAATTTACCATGCTTAGAATAACTTTAAAACGTCTGCAGGATTTCAAAGTATTCATTTTTGCAGTTTTGATTTATTCAATAAAATAAATTAACTGCTTCATTAATTTTTTTGTCAATGCAAATCTAAAAAATATGAATGCATTGATAAATTACAAGTATATTCATCCTATTTTGCAAATTTTATGTAGGATCTATTCGGCAAAATTTTGAGGTGACGTCATCAATTTTTTGGGAGGGATAAGCAAATACATTGTGATATAAAAATTACCATGCTTATGATAAATTTAAAACATCATTTTAATTTTTTTTTCCAAAAATCTGGACGTTTCGGGTAAAAACTCAACACGAAGTCATAAACTACATGGTTAGGACTATGTTATTTTATACAATTTAAAACTACTCATTTACTTTATACAGTTTTGAAATGATGTCATCACATTATAGGTGGAGATGACTACACAATGTTTGGTTAGCGTTTTATCATCTACATGATGTTCATAATACACACATAAAATTTGACAACAATCGGTCCATTAGTTTGGGAGATCATTTATCTAAAAAAAATCCGGTCAGGCGGCAGACGGACAGACAGATAGATAGACGGGAACGGAAGTCCTATTTCTTCGTACTGTAGGGGTCAGCAAAGGTCAAGAAAACATAAAAGTAGGGAGTCGGTCGATGAACTCGATTATACTTCCTTGGCTCGGAAAGTAAAAATCTAAGACCCTCAAAATCTATCATCCGGTTGTTTTTGATTTCTGTGGTCATAACTTTTTATTATTATTGCTATACTACTGCTACGGGCGACTCGCTTCTTTTATGTTTTTTCGACGTTTCATGACCCCTAGAATACGAAAATATAGATCTGTGTGCCGTCTACCGTCCACTTTCTGCCGTCTGTCCGTTTCTGTCGATTTTTATTATTAGACAGACCATCTTCTTTCTAATCTACCGGACTGATTTTGTCAAATTTTGTATGTGTATTAGGAATATCATATAGACCCTAAAGCGCTAACCAACATTTATCTGGTCATCCCCACCAATGATGATATGGCGTTACAATATTACAATAGTAAATGTTATTTAAATTTTATAAATAACTCCTTCACTTGTGGATCAAGAATCTGTGTTGAGTTTTTACCCTGAGCATCCAGATTTTTGTAAAAATTCAAAATTATTTAACAATACTTTAGAATTTTACTTCGAAATTGGAAACATAGTAAATCGCCAATAAAAATTTATCAGTTTACGAAATATGCAAAATGTGATGAGGCTCTATTTGTTATTTCTCATTAATATTTTTTTGACTTGCTGAAAGGTGACTCAAAAAATTGATGAATGAATCAATTGATTAAATTAGGAACGGCTCACTTCATTTTCCCGAAAATGAAACATCCGCGTAGCACGTTTCTTTATATTTATGTTATTTATTAACATTACATACATATCGTCATTTTAACTTAATGGGGGTTCTCACAAAAAAAATTAAATTTGCAACATACACTTTTGTAATTTTTCGTAAAAACTCGATATGCTTTATTGTACTTCAGAGGT